AGGAAAGTACTAGATTTGCTAGAGGATGTGGTTTATTAAAGTCCTTGATGATGGGAAACTTACGCCAGTATTAACCATCTAAGAGAGAGGCTTCCAATAATATACTACATGAAATGTTCCAGCATCTTAGACCTGACAGTCTGTCATATATTTTCATTGCATGATCCGGGAAAACAAATTATTTGAGGAAGAAATAGCCAAAAGTTTGAAAACCTATGTTCTTAAATTAAGAAGTGCAAATCTGATTCTCTGCACTAGTTTGCTATTATAGCTCTCTGGACACGTGCTGAATCAGGTAATTTGCCATATCCAATTTTGTGTGTAATGCTGAACATACACCAGAGCTGGATCTTTGAAGTCATTAATTGAATTACCTTCTGGATGAGACGGATGATGTATTAGTCTGTTCTTGAATCACCTTTCTCAGACATTATACTTAATAAGGATATCTAAATGCTAGCGACAGTTTTCAGGTCAGAGTTTGCTTCTTGTACATAGTCTTCTTATGCAGGTTATCCAGAACCACTTCTCCTAATTGGAGTGCTGACCTGTCAGTTTCCTTCGTGTTTGGGAAAATGAACAGCTTGTGTTTAGTTAATGCTGGTGCCATAATATTAACTATTCTAAAATGCCATTCTGAAGTTATAACTGCTTATAGAATCCTACTCTCATAGACTAGCTTTGTTTAATTTTGTATCTTTGTGATACAGTCTTTGTTCCTTCTAGGCATCTTTTTCATTTGGATTGCCTCATCTGTCAAAAATCATACTCCATCTTTCACGGCAAGCTTATAACAGTACTTAGGAACTTTATGGTACCCTGGGCTGCATAAGAAGCAGCATGGCCAGCAGGTTGAGGAAGGTGATTCTCCCCCTCTACTCACCTTTTGTGAGATGCCACCTGGAGTAATGCATCCAGCTCTGGGGTCCCCACCACAAGACAGAGCGGGTCCAAAGCAGGGCCACAAAAATGGTCAGAGGGCTGGAGCACCTCTCATATGAAGAAAGGCTGAGAGAGTTGGGTTTGTTCACCCTTGAGAAGAGAAGGCTTCAGGGAGATTTTATTGCAGCCTTTCAATATGTAAAGGGAGGCTTATAAGAAAGATGGAGAGAGACTTTTTACCAGGGCCTGTGGCAACAGGAGAAGGGGCAATTGTTTTAAACTAAAAGAGGGTCATTTCAGATTAGATATAAAGAAGAAATTCTTTGTGATGAGGGTGGTGAGACACTGGAACAGGTTGCCCAGAGAAGCTGTGGATGCCCCATCCCTGGAAGTGTTCAAGGTCAGGTTGGATGAGTGAGCAACCTGATCTGGTGGAAGATGCCCCTGGCAGGTGGGCTGGACTAGGTGATCTTTAAAGGTCCCTTCCAACCCAAACCATTCTATGATTCTATCATTTATTGTGTGCCTATATAACTAATATGAACAGTAGCTTTTCTGCAGGGTTGTTTTTTTGGTTTGGGGGTTTTTTTTGTTTTTCAGCAGAGCACCATAAGGTTCAGACATAATAAATATCATCAGGATAGCTTTTTTTTTTTTTAAATGGACTGTATTCAAGCTCCATGTTCTGTATTTAGCTGTTTAGAAGTCCAGCATGTTGTCTTAACTGGTAGTACTTTATGTAGAAAAGCTTAAAAAGAACAGTTCATTTACACCCTGAATTTATTTTTTGTCAGGCATAAATTAATCCTGAGTTACATAGAAGCTAAGCAGAGCTTATTTTTATTTTTTAATGGTTTTAACTTCCTCACTGATCTGCATGGAAGCTTTTTTCTTTTTATACAGTTCATGTATTGCATTTACATAACCTTAACGTATGTTAACATATAAGAAGGTCTCCCTTCTCATTTCTACTTGGTTATACTTCATTTTCAGTTGATAGAATTTATTGATAAATGTTCTGTTTATTAACTTCAATTGTTTCTTAGTTATTCTAGAAAACTGGAGGGATCAGATTTTATAGACATATAAAATAGTCAACCTTATGTTTTCAAAGCCTTGGCTTTAAGGTTTGTTATTTTTTCATGCTCTATTTTATATTAAACACATTGTGTGTTTCTGTTTGATAAATACTAATTCTGTAACCATTTAAGCATAATATACTACAGTTAGTGATGAAAAGCATACAAGAAAAAAAAAATCTCTTTATAAACTAGCTAGGGAATACCCTTCCAACTATTTTTTTTTATTTTAAAAGAAATGTAAAATAGCTTTTATTTGTACTGTAAAAAATTATTTCCAGAGTTATTTTCTTTGTGTGAAACATCACTCCAGGTATCTTAATCTATTCCTGACTAGGAAATCAAAAATCATCTGACTTAAGATAATTTATCTAAATCAAGCCATTAGCATAGTCATCCTGTGTTCTCTTCTTTTTGCTATATTGGAGCTTTCAACTGCTGCAGAAATGGCTGCAAAGCCTTTTTGCCCAGAGTTTTTGAGAGGGAAAATCTGAAGCTCTTTTTGTTTAGGAATGCCTTATGTTTGGGAGTTGTTGATTTTAGGATATATCTTTATTTGATGTCCTTTTAGTCCTATTGGTGTTTTATAGTGTTAAAACTTTTTATTAGTAACTGTAGTCATGTATAGATGGCAGTCCGTAACTCACCTATTCTTTTAAAATATAAATAAACAGATATTATAGACATCCAAAATCTTCCTTTAGAAGAGAGAGCAGTCTGAACAAAAGTCCCTATTCTCCTAAATGCTTGTACCTGCAGTATAGAAGTGTACACTACTTTTTCACTTGTAAGACTTTTTAAATAGGATATGAGTTTGCCACGTGTATTTAAATCAACAGAGAGCATCAAACCACGTATGTTACCTAGGAAGGAAAGTTAGTCAGGTTCAGACAGAACCTCTTTCTATCTTCCACATTCATGCCAGTGTTCATTAATGGAGTGAGCTTATTCTGAGAAATTGTGCATTGGAAGACAGTGCTTATCTAAAATTTGTTGTGAAATAACCACATTTTGTGCCTCACGAACCGTTTGATGAAGTTTCTGATCCATATGTTGAACACGTTAGGTGCAAAAACTGTCTGCCAGGCAGAAGTCAGTTCATGCAGTTTTCCTTCAAATGGCTCCCACCACTAACTTCATTTCCAGAGGAAAAGACAAGGCTGTGACTCTTGGTATTCTGAGATTCCTGACCATACTTAACCATAAAACAAGGATATGCAGTTTGCTTTTTTCTTCATAGAACTCCACTAGTGTGAGGTGTCACATCCTGAAAACTCTTTGATAGTCCATTTTTGCATTAAGATGCTTAGATGATGAAATATGTTTTTTTAAAAGGTCTATGAAAATCAAGGAGCACTAGAGTTACTTACTAAAACATTTGGAAAAAAAAGATGAGCTCCTATATCTGGTAAATAAATTCATAGAAAGACATACTTTACTTGTTTGGATGAAACCACTTGCTTTCCTACAAAAATAAGGGCTGAATAGTTATTTATAAAAATGCTGCTGCCATTGAATAATGTAGCAGCCTTGATCTGTGCTTTAAAACTTTTACTGATAACACATCTTTTTGGTCAAAGCCTGTATGCATGCATGAAGCAGCAGAAGCAGCATAATGTCACCAAAAAGTTATGCTTTTTTGACAAAGGCAAACACATAAATAAGTTGAAAACGTGCACTTCAGAAACAAGGAAGTAGTTTTAACCCATTCCTGAAGCTCAATTTTACTACTTCATTAAATGTGCTCTGTTCTGGTCCCTGATAGACCTATTAGCAATTTTCTAGCCTAAAGTTAAACTATTTGTGAGAAGACTAGAATAGAATTTCCAGAGACACATCTAGAAACATTTAGGAGCTATTTATCAAAATAAAAATATATACGTATGTACTTTAAATATTAAAAAGAGATACCATGACACCAGCTATAATTGATAATTCTCTTTTGGAATTAAAGTGCTGGAGAGTTTCCTTGACTGTCAGTAATATAAAAATATTTTCTTAATACTCTTAAAATATAATAAGAACGGGATTAAAATTAAAAAAAAAATCTATAGCTAAATATTTGATAGACAAAAAATATGATGTACCCAAGACATAAGTAGAAGAGC